AGTACCTTGCCTGTGGTCACAGGGAATGGATGGTGATAGAGGATTTAGATCCGGTTCTCCCTACTCCCTTCTGAGGCTGCTACTTGTTTCCCTCTCTACGAAGTGGAGAGTTAAGTGTACTAGTTCACAGGGCTATTATGAGGATTAAGTGAGCATGTGAAGCATTTGGCACGGTCCTACAATGTGCAGTCAAGAAATGCCAGCCATTATTGTCTCATCTAGCAACTGAGGTGGGGATGGCAGTCCAGGTGGTGCTTATGTTGAAGAGAAGAAAATCTAGGCTAAATGTATCCTTTAGGCAATTTATCTAAAAAGTTAGTTAAGAATGTGCTATTGTATTGCACTGAGGCTTTTAGAGATTAAATAAACTGGGAACACATATCTATTTGCCTACACTGATTACATTTGCCTACCAGATTAAATAAACTGGTAACACATAATCTATTTGCCAAATCCTACTACAGGCAGGATTTGGTGGTGGGTCTCACAAAGGAACTGACCATGAACATTAGCCTGACGAACTCTGGAGAAGATTCCTACATGACAAGCATGGCTTTGAATTACCCCAGAAACTTACAGTTTAAAAGTATACGAAAGGTAATTATGGCTGTGGCTTTGGAAACACACTCCTCACGGCTTTTCCTCTCTGCATACCGGTTTTTTCATGGCAACATCCTAACTGCTCTCCCTGCCTCCAGCTGCATCCTGGCTCATTCAATAAATGATTATTAGACGAACCCCTCCAACCACACACCATTCAGGCAGTCATGCCATTCTTTGCCTTAAAAACCCTCAAGGGGGCCATTTTGCTGCACAGTCACTCCTCCTTGCTTGCAGCCTTTTAAAAACGTGTTTCTGAGACCTAAATAATCTCTCATAAATTAGCCTGGGCTGGGAAATTTGAAGTCTACCCAGCCTGGGATCAACAGACACAAAGCCAGCTGCAAGATACTAGGAAACAGTATTTCTCCCAAGCACATCCTGCAGCTTTAAAGTATCATAACGTGAGAAATTATATTTTCTAAAATCATAAGCAATCAGAAACTTTACTGTTTGAAGTTATATCTGTAATTCTGAAACCATTTCACTCTTGACTGGAGAATCTAAGTCGCTTTGATTAGACTTAATCTCAGTTTCCATCTGAGGGGGCAAAGCTTCAGATAAAGCATTTCTAAACACAATTTTCTACATCCATCTTAATAGGTTCCCAGGAAATGGGTTCCTGGATTCAGACCTGTTGTTGATTGACCCTTTTTACAAACAGCCCTGCTTTCCTTTGAGCCAATCAAAATGCTGCTTGACTTATATTTCTCCTGAACTCCACCCTTCCCCAGAATCTTTTCATAACTGTCTTCTCCTTCATTTGTGAGAGACTCCACAGTGCAGTTTTCCTCATTGCAATGAGTCAGTAAACCTGGATTTGTCCAACTACAGGTTTGTCCTAGTGGTCCTAGGCTGTCTGGGCTAGAACAGCATCCACTATGTAAAAAGAATGAAATTATCTCATAAGCATCTAGAATGGAATGGTGATGTCCCCTCCTTTGGAGAATTAAGAAAGTCACTCAAATCATACTGCATAGTCAGGAGTCCAGATGAGGAGCCATGGATGAGAAAGCATTCACGGCAGGCCTTGGGCTCACGCTGGCCTTCCCCCACCTTAGTACGTTAAGCTGCATTGGTCTGAGGCCCAGTTCAAATGTCTGCTTCCCTGTGAAGACTTTACAGATTCCTCCTCATTGGATTTCATCTCTTTCTCTACTGCTTTTCTCTGTACCTCTCCCACAGAACCACTCCTTAGGCCTGTGTTTAAATTCCTCAATCCACTACTACTGCCCTCCTGCCCAGCTTTTGAGGAAGACAGGGAGCAAGTCTGATTTGTGTCCCCAGCTCCTGGCAGGGTGTCTGGCATGTGGAGTCAGTGAATGCTTGTTGATTTGTGGGAGGAAACTGCTCCCATTTTTGCCCTTAAAGAAGTATCTTTTGTGTTACCAGCCTCCTTCTCTGAACATCCAGTGTGATGACCCCAAGCCAACTGCTTCTGTCCTGGTCATGAACTGCAGGATTGGTCACCCTATACTCAAGAGGTCATCTGTGAGTCTGTTCTGATCGGCTGACTTCTCACTATGCTGGAGTTGGTGTCTTCTCCAGCCTTGTCTCATCTGAATCTCTCTGTGGTGGGCTCCACACTCCCCCTTACTGTAGCCAATCCATAGCAGTGCTTAGAACAGCCAGGTCTGCTCTGCAAGTAGGGAGTGGGGGACACAGCCATAGACCATTGGCTCCCCCCAGTAACAGCAGAGAGAAGTGGGGGTGGTCTGAAGGAGCACCAGACCCAAAGTTACTCGTCCTGAGCTAAGTCCCTGACCTTACCACTCATGAGCTTTGAAGTGGTTTCCTCAGCTGGGAAAGGGAGTAATGCTGTCTGCCCTCTTCTTCCACGCTGACATCATGAGGCTTACATGCAATACATGGAGTCATGCTGTGCTACAATAACCTGATTGTTTCCCAGGCCTATTTAGGTTGTAGGAAGCAGTGTGAACTGTGGGTGGTATAGAGAGGAATCAAGTGACTTTTTTTTTCTTTAAACAGGCAAACTTTTCAGTAGTTTGGCAGCTAGAGGAGAATGCCTTTCCAAACAGAACAGCCAGCATCACTGTGACAGTCAGCAAGTAAGTAGTGCCTGTGTCACAGCAGGCCCAGGCTGTGGGCCCATGTGCGGGCGTAAGAGCTACGGCTGCCTCATGGCCCCTGGAGAACAGGAACGCCACTGAGGCCCCAGAAGACAGCCGTGCCGCACACTGGCATGGCTTTCCCTTCTGTTATCAAAGATAGTAAGACACTCTTATGGACACACAAAGGAAAACTATGGTGTAGTCCAATGGGAAACAAGGCATAGCCCAGCCTTGGACGGGAGGTCTGATTCTGGGCTGTTGAGCTTTGCAGCAGTTCTGTCCCCTGCAAAGCTGCCTGGAGGAAGGGTGAGGTGTGGCGTTCTCAAACGGGGTGATCCTGTCCCCAGGAACAATGCCTCAAGACACTTTTGATTGCCACGACTTGGGGGTGCTAGTGGCATCTGGTGGGCAGCAAGTGGAGAGGCTGCTCATCGTACAGTATACAGAAGCCTCTCACAAAGAATTGCCTGGCCCAAATGTCAATACTGTCAAGGTTGAGAAGCCCTTTCTAAATCACCTTCTCCAAGTATAGTTTTCTAGTATGTGTTCTACACTCTAGTTGCTCATCTCCAAGTCTTTTCTTATCTGACCCTTGATGACCCTGGGAAGCAGGATACAGAAGCAGCTGTATGTACAAAGCAGATGTGCTGTGAACTGACACTCTTTGTTTCCTAGTTCCAATGAGAGAAGGTCTTTGGTCACACAGACCCACAGCCTTCAGTTCAGGTGGGCCTTCATGGCAGTTCTTCCCAAGTAAGTACTTCCGAGGGGCCAACACCTGCACAGTGTCAGGCATTTTCTCCTGTGGATGGAACTGGGGCCAGGGTGGGCGGGGGGCACTGCTCTTCCCCGACGGGAGGCTGCTTAGAACCCAGGCTCCTCCAGTTTCTTGGGCACTAACTGTTGGGTCTCAGAAACCCCATGGCAGTCATCAGCGGGGGAGCAGTGTCAACTGATCTTGCTACAAGAGCACTGATGTGATGCTGAGGGAAGGAGAGGGGCTGTGCGATTGGGAAGGAAGGAGAAAAGGCAGCCCACCCTGAGGAATGGTAACTAGACATACAACCAGCCCAAATACACAGAATTCAAATATTCTACCTGACCCCACTGTCCTACCACCACTTTACATTTTGATATTCAGCTTTGATATCTCCAAAGTATCTGGTGCCCTCTGTCCTAGTAGACTTAACAGATAGCATTCAGGTTCATTTAAAACAAGAGGGGGCCTTGAGGCCTAACACATGTCCTCTCAATTGCAGACCATCAGTGATGTATGTAAACACAAGCCGGGGGGTTTCCGACCACAAAGAATTCTTCTTTAATGTAAGTGCTAAGTGCTTATCACCCCAAAGCTGCAGGAGGCAGGGCTACACCAGCTTGGACATCCTACTGATTTTATTTTGCAGATACATGGGGAAAATCTCTTTGGAGCCAAATTCCAGCTGCAAATTTGTGTTCCAATCAGATTACAAGACATCCAGTTTATAAAAGTGAAGAGCCTGACAAAGACTCAGGTACTTAAAGGTAGTTCTTTATTTTGATCACATTTCTTTCCAGAGTGACTATGGATTTTTAAAGGTATAAAAACTAGACTTCTAGAAAAGGAGTAAAAACAAGTTAAGTCAACCTGGGAAGACATTAGGAGTAAATTGCCAAAGTCACTTTCAGGAGGAATATCAACCACTCAGCTTTTAGAGCAACATTTCAGTTTTCCTTCTCTTGGTGAAAAACAAGGAAAAATTCAGACCTTGTTTTTAGTAATAGTAGCTGTGAAAACATTAATTTTCCCTTTGAAAACTGATAAATTCTGCCTCTCTTTGTGATGGGCAAATGAGCTTGATAAACATGTGGCATTTCTCATGCTTCTTGTAAATTTACCATCTTTCTTCCCTCTGTCCCTCCCATCTGTCTGTCTGGGCCTCTGCTTGGCTACCACCCCTTTGCTTTGGGCGACTCTTCATTGGTGGCATGGGGCCCGCAGCTGGTCTATGACACCTACAGCACTAGGCTCTGATCAGTGACAGCCGAGGCCTTAGGCTTCCTGCATTTTCTTTTGCTCAGGCTACCTGAAGTGTCAAGGCTCAAAAATGAAAATATGGAATTTACAGAATGTACTCTGCTGACAGAGGGCTTGTAAGTTGTAAACACTTGTTCTCTTGTGTAGTTTTTTAAGAACATTTGTTAATTTCAACCATTTGCATTTCCACATGGAAACAAAATTTTTGTTTGAAAAGCTGCATGTGCACATTTGGCAGGGTGTCTGGCATGTGGAGTCAGTGAATGCTTGTTGATTTGTGGGAGGAAACTGCTCCCATTTTTGCCCTTAAAGAAGTATCTTTTGTGTTACCAGCCTCCTTCTCTGAACATCCAGTGTGATGACCCCAAGCCAACTGCTTCTGTCCTGGTCATGAACTGCAGGATTGGTCACCCTATACTCAAGAGGTCATCTGTGAGTCTGTTCTGATCGGCTGACTTCTCACTATGCTGGAGTTGGTGTCTTCTCCAGCCTTGTCTCATCTGAATCTCTCTGTGGTGGGCTCCACACTCCCCCTTACTGTAGCCAATCCATAGCAGTGCTTAGAACAGCCAGGTCTGCTCTGCAAGTAGGGAGTGGGGGACACAGCCATAGACCATTGGCTCCCCCCAGTAACAGCAGAGAGAAGTGGGGGTGGTCTGAAGGAGCACCAGACCCAAAGTTACTCGTCCTGAGCTAAGTCCCTGACCTTACCACTCATGAGCTTTGAAGTGGTTTCCTCAGCTGGGAAAGGGAGTAATGCTGTCTGCCCTCTTCTTCCACGCTGACATCGTGAGGCTTACATGCAATACATGGAGTCATGCTGTGCTACAATAACCTGATTGTTTCCCAGGCCTATTTAGGTTGTAGGAAGCAGTGTGAACTGTGGGTGGTATAGAGAGGAATCAAGTGACTTTTTTTTTCTTTAAACAGGCAAACTTTTCAGTAGTTTGGCAGCTAGAGGAGAATGCCTTTCCAAACAGAACAGCCAGCATCACTGTGACAGTCAGCAAGTAAGTAGTGCCTGTGTCACAGCAGGCCCAGGCTGTGGGCCCATGTGCGGGTGTAAGAGCTACGGCTGCCTCACGGCCCCTGGAGAACAGGAACGCCACTGAGGCCCCAGAAGACAGCCGTGCCGCACACTGGCATGGCTTTCCCTTCTGTTATCAAAGATAGTAAGACACTCTTATGGACACACAAAGGAAAACTATGGTATAGTCCAATGGGAAACAAGGCATAGCCCAGCCTTGGACGGGAGGTCTGATTCTGGGCTGTTGAGCTTTGCAGCAGTTCTGTCCCCTGCAAAGCTGCCTGGAGGAAGGGTGAGGTGTGGCGTTCTCAAACGGGGTGATCCTGTCCCCAGGAACAATGCCTCAAGACACTTTTGATTGCCACGACTTGGGGGTGCTAGTGGCATCTGGTGGGCAGCAAGTGGAGAGGCTGCTCATCGTACAGTATACAGAAGCCTCTCACAAAGAATTGCCTGGCCCAAATGTCAATACTGTCAAGGTTGAGAAGCCCTTTCTAAATCACCTTCTCCAAGTATAGTTTTCTAGTATGTGTTCTACACTCTAGTTGCTCATCTCCAAGTCTTTTCTTATCTGACCCTTGATGACCCTGGGAAGCAGGATACAGAAGCAGCTGTATGTACAAAGCAGATGTGCTGTGAACTGACACTCTTTGTTTCCTAGTTCCAATGAGAGAAGGTCTTTGGTCACACAGACCCACAGCCTTCAGTTCAGGTGGGCCTTCATGGCAGTTCTTCCCAAGTAAGTACTTCCGAGGGGCCAACACCTGCACAGTGTCAGGCATTTTCTCCTGTGGATGGAACTGGGGCCAGGGTGGGCGGGGGGCACTGCTCTTCCCCGACGGGAGGCTGCTTAGAACCCAGGCTCCTCCAGTTTCTTGGGCACTAACTGTTGGGTCTCAGAAACCCCATGGCAGTCATCAGCGGGGGAGCAGTGTCAACTGATCTTGCTACAAGAGCACTGATGTGATGCTGAGGGAAGGAGAGGGGCTGTGCGATTGGGAAGGAAGGAGAAAAGGCAGCCCACCCTGAGGAATGGTAACTAGACATACAACCAGCCCAAATACACAGAATTCAAATATTCTACCTGACCCCACTGTCCTACCACCACTTTACATTTTGATATTCAGCTTTGATATCTCCAAAGTATCTGGTGCCCTCTGTCCTAGTAGACTTAACAGATAGCATTCAGGTTCATTTAAAACAAGAGGGGGCCTTGAGGCCTAACACATGTCCTCTCAATTGCAGACCATCAGTGATGTATGTAAACACAAGCCGGGGGGTTTCCGACCACAAAGAATTCTTCTTTAATGTAAGTGCTAAGTGCTTATCACCCCAAAGCTGCAGGAGGCAGGGCTACACCAGCTTGGACATCCTACTGATTTTATTTTGCAGATACATGGGGAAAATCTCTTTGGAGCCAAATTCCAGCTGCAAATTTGTGTTCCAATCAGATTACAAGACATCCAGTTTATAAAAGTGAAGAGCCTGACAAAGACTCAGGTACTTAAAGGTAGTTCTTTATTTTGATCACATTTCTTTCCAGAGTGACTATGGATTTTTAAAGGTATAAAAACTAGACTTCTAGAAAAGGAGTAAAAACAAGTTAAGTCAACCTGGGAAGACATTAGGAGTAAATTGCCAAAGTCACTTTCAGGAGGAATATCAACCACTCAGCTTTTAGAGCAACATTTCAGTTTTCCTTCTCTTGGTGAAAAACAAGGAAAAATTCAGACCTTGTTTTTAGTAATAGTAGCTGTGAAAACATTAATTTTCCCTTTGAAAACTGATAAATTCTGCCTCTCTTTGTGATGGGCAAATGAGCTTGATAAACATGTGGCATTTCTCATGCTTCTTGTAAATTTACCATCTTTCTTCCCTCTGTCCCTCCCATCTGTCTGTCTGGGCCTCTGCTTGGCTACCACCCCTTTGCTTTGGGCGACTCTTCATTGGTGGCATGGGGCCCGCAGCTGGTCTATGACACCTACAGCACTAGGCTCTGATCAGTGACAGCCGAGGCCTTAGGCTTCCTGCATTTTCTTTTGCTCAGGCTACCTGAAGTGTCAAGGCTCAAAAATGAAAATATGGAATTTACAGAATGTACTCTGCTGACAGAGGGCTTGTAAGTTGTAAACACTTGTTCTCTTGTGTAGTTTTTTAAGAACATTTGTTAATTTCAACCATTTGCATTTCCACATGGAAACAAAATTTTTGTTTGAAAAGCTGCATGTGCACATCTAAGAATGGGAATTCCACCCCGATCTGGTGTGGAGACTGGAAACAGCACCAGGGGCTTCAAGCCTGGTGCCCTAGGGGGCAGTAAAGGCACCTTTGGCTACTTAAACAGACTGTGCTGGCAGAGCAGGTCAGTGGCAGAGCTGAAGTTCAGCATTGTCTTGTAGAAATGTTGGATCTTTTTCCTCATTTGCTTCATGGCAGGGGTGTTATGTTTATTCTTGAAGGTCATCTGTTTCAGCACCTTGTCTGTGAGGTAATGTAGCCAGAGTACATTATTATAAGGATGATACTCGCCCCAGCAGTTGTTGTTCTCCTTCCTCATTAGCCTGTAGATCTCAAACTGGTAGTCACCTTCACCTGTGAACAGGTCCTCGTCCATGGATATGTCACAAAAAACCACAATCCCATCCCGCTCCAAGCGGGACAGGGTGTAGTCAATGATGCTGACCTGCAGCCCACAGGTGGGGATTGTGCTCATCTTCCCGTTGAGGGTGTACTGCAGCTTTTTGAGGCTGGTTTTCTTTATGAGCACATTCCCCCAATGTAAGTCTCGGTGCTCAAAGTGCAGTGATGCCTCGGCCACCGCGAGGGATGCAGTGATCTGGTGTAGAATGCTTTTTGCAGTAGCCATGGAGGACAACTTCTTTCTCATTTGCTCCAAGTCAACCCCTCCAAAGTCAAATTCAAGCACAATGAAGAGCTGGTCTTCCTCAAAAAAGTCAGGTCGGTCATTTGCAGACCCTTTGGTTGAGTTATAGTGATCCCAGGCTCTGAGGAGCAAGGGAGGGTAAGATCCCTGAACACAGTGCACTGAGTTCAACCCAATAAAGCCTTCTGTGCGGTTGCATACCTCATCAGACAAGAGGCTCAGCTCTTTGGAGATGATGATCTCTGGCAGGATTTCCTTGAAAGTCTTCTGATGGGCCCCATTGACTAAATCCGGTCCTTCAATAGCAATGATTTTTAGAGCTACAGGTATGTGATTAGCAATTGTTCGAAACACTTCACCAAATACCCCTTCCCCAATCTTCTCACAGCATTCTAGTTTTTCTGTGGAAAGGCAATAGCTAAAGGGGACAGGACCTTCCTGATTGCACTCCCCATAAACCTTTTCAGCATCAGATACCTTTTTGTCTATAACACAGAGTGTTTTTAAAGGGGTTAGCAAGTACATGGACGAGGAGTGCGAAGGGGACAGAGCACTGCTTGTTCTGTCTGTGGCGGGAAGGTTTGCATATTCTGATATGAGGGACCCTGACAGAGAAGTGGTGGCGGTGTAGCTGCTGCATACTTCCGACACAGTGGTCACCATCTTCTTCTTGTGGAAACTCAAAGAAGCCCTGGTTTTGGTCCAAGTGCAGGCATTCTGTAAATGAGTCAGGTCCTGGCTGAAGAATGGCTCTTTTTCCATCTTTTGGCCCTTTTTAAACTGCTGATAATGGAGGAGGGAGGTTTCTACTGTCTCCTTATATTTCTTTTTCCTGCTTGGCCCAGTCCTCTTAGGCCTGCTGATTACCCCAGGTACAGTATAGTCCTTGCAGACACTGGCTTCCTCATACCCAATCTGGGTAACCTCTTGAGACCCAATCTCTTGACAAGAGTTCTGGTCTGTAGCTCTCTTGGGCATGCCTGATAAGCCTGGACCCTCCGGCCTCTTCCCCACCAGCTCCCTTTCACAGCAGGACTCCCTCATATTCTTCCCATCCGTCCCAAACTCTGAATCCTCAGGGTTTTCTGCGCCGATAAAGCTAAAGGAAACTGACCTGAGGCTGGCACGGGGGGCCAGCCTGGTGAACCTGTCTCCTGTGGCTGCCTCCCGGGAGCAGGTGGTAGGCGCGTGGTCCATCGAGGCTGCTGGGATGTGGCAGCCGCTCGGAGCTTCAGAAGCCGCATCCGGAGAGGCGGAGGAGCCGGTACAGATGACACCATCTTCTGTCGCTGAGGACCCAGGGCCGAGGCCGGGAGAGCCCAGAGCGCTGAACAGGGAGGCACTGGTGCCCAGCTCGCCGCCGTCCCGGGACCGGCGGCACACACTGAGGTCCAGGCTGAGCCGGCCCGGATTGCCATTGGGGAAGGGCGGCGTCCGGAGAGGGCCGCAGGGGGTGCTGCACTTCTGCGGGGGCCGCGCCCGCAGCCTCAGGCACTTGGGGGTCACGATCGGGCTCGGCAGGTCCTCGGAGATTCGGTCGCCGGGGCGCCTCCGCCGCTGAGCCGCGGGACTGCTGGGAGAGAAGTCGGGGTCGTCAGGGTCGTTGGAAGCGACCGACCACGAAGGGTCGCTGCTGCTACTGCTGCTGCTGCTGCAGAAACGCTTCCGGTCTTGTGGCGGGAACCACTGCGCGGCTGTCAGGCGCGGTCGCAGCCGCGACCTCCGGCCGCCGGGAGCCCCATACGTTCGGAAGAGCCGATTCCCGGGTCGCGGGACCGACCCCGCCATAGCCGGCACCCGCCAAGCGGTTCAAACGCAAACACCGCGAGACTTCCTCGAGAAGCGGACGCGCCCGCCGGGCCGGCCTGCCCGCGGGGGTCCTAGCGCTCGGCCTTGCGCAGGCGCGTCACGCCGCGTCTCGCGGTTTCTGGGAGAGGACGGTGGCCACGGCGCTTCTGTCTTAACTGAGTCTCGGCAATGCCTGTCGTTTCAGGCCCGCACTGTGTGCACCCAGAGTCAGGAGAGCGCTTGTGGGAGCGATCCGGTTCAGGTGAGCGTGGCCATGCCTTCTCGAGACGCCAAGGAAGGGAGGAAGGCCTGAAGCGGTTGACGGGAGAGGCCCGGATACTATTCCGACGTTTCCCTGGAAAGCAAACGCCGGGCGGCCCCGAGGCCCTTCTTAGCCTTAGCACTGGGTCACGTCGGTAGAGTTCGCGGTTGTGCTTGAGCCGGCGTGGGCGCTGAAACCTGCGCCCGCTCTCTATCCTGGGAGCTAAATGTGCTCTGCGTGCTAAGGATTCACATTTCTAGCTTTGCCACCCAGAAAGGCATGTGCTAACTAGACTTTCCTTTACTAGCACGTGGAAATATGGCATTTGGTGAGCTGTGCCATCACTTCGGATAAAGAAAATATAACCGTGGCCACAGAGCTCTCCTTGAGTCAGTATAAGCAGGTACTTGAGACGGTGAATGCTCCAAATTTGATCATTTTGCTCCTCACGGGCATGTAGCTCCCCTGGAAAGGATAGTAGCATCTCAGTTATAACGTGTATGAAAGCAGGTCTCTTGACCCACCTTTTGCTCCAGCCTGTTTATTTAATTAGTACGGGTAACTTACTAGTAACTTACTCGTTATTTATTAGGAATTCTAGGAAGTACTTAGGACTCCTCCCTTACCTACATCCCCGTATCAATTCCAGCAGCAAGCTATGTCATCCCACCTCCAAAATATATTTTAAATCCGTTCATGTCTCTCCATCTCTCCTGCTATTGTAGTTCAGGCTACCATCTTTCACCTGGGCTGTTGTGGACACACTCTGTCTTTTCTTCTTGCCTCTGCTCTTGCCATGCTTGCTTGCTACAAATATTTCTTCACAGAGCACCTATTTTAAAAAGCAAACGTGGTGCCACTCCTATGCTTAAAAAAAAAGATGGCATTTGAATACACTTGGACTAAAATCCATATCTTTTCAGTTGTCCTTTGGCACAGTATTATCTGGTCTCTGCTTTCTAACTTCATCTAGTACTCTCCTCTTGCCCACTTCTTATATTCCAGCTATTTTGCTCCTCCTTTCTGCTCCTCCAGCTTAATAGTGCTCTGGCCACAGGACCTTTGTTCTTGCTGTTCCTTCTGCAGGAAACTGCTCTTCCTTTTATCTTCATCTGTGTGTTTTCTTCTTATATTTAGTTCAGATGTTAGAAGGCCTTCCCTGATCACTCATTCTGAAGTGGACACTGTGGTCAAGTTTAATGTCTTGCAGTGATCCAGGTGAGAATGATGAGATCTGAACTCAGGAAGTAACAATGGGGATACAGAAAAGGGGCCAACCTCTTGAGGTGCAAGAAAGACTAAAAATATATTGTCAAGGGCAGGCTTGGGTGAGGGTATGACAGGTAAAGGGTAAGGGACAAGAAGTTGAGGAATGACTGCAGGTTTCTTGCATGGGTAACTCTGGTGGCTGAGGCCACGAATCAGGCTGAGAAATACAGGAGAAGGAACCCTATATTTCCCCTGAAGGGAAGGCTGGTAAGTGCTGTCCATAAGTCCTTGTCTAAAATATGTTTTGCTTCCCCCTCACCCACCTCCTACAGTTAAGAGATGTAACTGAACTGCAGATCCTTGGTGAAATATCTTTCAACAGATCTCTGTACGAGGGGCTGAATGCAGAGAACCACCAAACAAAGGTAAACCCCTGGCTGTTTTCTGGTTTTCTGGGACTTGTCCTGGGAAAACTGCCTAGCCTTAGAGCCCCTGTACAGGCCCTCTGCTATTGCCAAATTCCTGTTTTCAGTCTTAGGACCTTGATCTTGACTCTGACACCAACTCATCTGTAACTTTTGAGTTTAGTCAACTTTTGCCTCAATTTTTCCATCTATGAAATGAGGCAATTGAATTAGCTGAGAAAATCTGAGAAATAACTAAGCTGGAATCAATAGTTATATATTTTTTTATTTGAAAATGTTTTAAAAAAATTTTCCTAACTGAGAAGTGATTTTTTGGTCTATGTAGCTCTCTTCCTGTGCAGTGTCAGTGTTGTGAGTATTAAATAGTCACAGCAGTCAGGGTACATAATTCTTTTGTGTCTTAGACTAAGTCCTAGAACTCTTGGGAGTCATTTTGCAGAAGTGTTACCACAAGTCAAACTGACATCTGTGGTCTGTGGGCTGAATATGTGTGTGCTGCCCACCGTTGTCATTCTTGTTGACAGTCACCTAGGCCTCAGAGATTATCCATCTGTGCAGTCTATAGTTAGGCATGATGATGACTGGAGGGAATGTCAAGAGAGTGAGACCACATTACTAAGTACTAGGTGTTCTGAGTTCTTCCCTGGAGGAGAAAAGAGCAGTTCTCTAGGCATGTCAGAAATAACATTTCCTTTTTTAAGTATTTGTAATGCTGAAGATGATATATAAGAAAGGAAAGTGCCCCTTATCCTCAGATTAAAAAAAAATAGAATAGCAAGAAAATCCAAGTCATACCAAACGAAAAATAATGGTTCTTTCATTACCTCCTTCCCATGTCCCCAGCTCCCTCTTCTCAAAGGGTGTTACTGTTAACAGTTTCTTATTTGTACATTCATAAGTAATGTTTACATTATATGTATATTTCTATATTTCTTATATAGATTTACATATATATTTCCTTTTTTATTTCCGTAAGCATAGATTTCCCAAAATTATTTTCCTTTCTTTAAATTCAATACCCTAAGCAAAGTATTAAGTTGTTCCTTAAAATAAATAGGCACCTGACTTAAAATGAATCTATGAGTATAAATAGCTGTGTATCCATGTGCATTTGAGCTGCAAGTAAGTAAAATTCTCACTAATGTACCACGGAGGCATCTGTCGTTTATGTAGTGAGGGGGGCAGACCAGGGTCAGTGACTTTGTTCCTCTGGATCTTGTGCTCTACCGTCTGTGTGTTGGTGATGCCTCCCCTTGTGGCCAGCACAGAGTTGCCACATCTCCCAGTGCTGTATTTTCACATGGCAGAATACAGAATAGGAAGCAAGAGGTCATAGCCAAAGGATCTTTCTTCACGGGCCTTACCTTTTCAGGAAGATACCTTCCTGATATCACCCAGTAATATCTCCTTACATCTCATTAGTTAGAACTGGATCTTGTGCCAGTCGCTCACAAAGGGAATAGCTTTGTCACGAGCTTGGAGCAGTCATGATTTCAGAACAAAATCTAAAAGCAGACAATGGCTCTGGGCCACCGTCGATGCTTGCTACAAGCAGTAGTATCCTGTGTCTTGTTTCTCCCTTGCCCTCTACCAGGGCAGCTTTGGGGCACTTTAGGAAACTGGGTTTAGAAGAGGAAAAAGGGAAGAGGCTTTGAAAAACAGCAGTTTTCCTCCTCAGATCTGGCCTCTTACCCCACTTTCCTCCCCTTGGGACTTCAAACCCAGGTTCTTAAGGCAACCCCACCCCCCCAAACCCAACTCTTCCATAGAGGGAAAAAACAGCTCTTCCTGTTCTTGCTCCCTCCTTATTCTCAAGGCCCAGAACTCACTCCTGTTAAGTTCAGCTGCGTATGAGTTAAATAGTGCCTAGAGGATCAACTCTAGGAAGAAACCAGCATTTATCACTTAATTGGAAGAGTCCTGAAAGGTAAATTTGTCCAGCCTTCTACCCCATACAGAAATTTTCTCCAAAGCATTCCTGACCTGGGTGCCTGAACACTTGTTTGAAGGGAACTCAGTGTTTGGGGCAAGCGGAGCAGTCTTGCTGGCTCTCTGGCCCCCCAAAGCCCTGGGAGCATGCTCTGCTGTGGTCTCAGCTGGCCACAACTTGGGAGAGCCGTGTCTGGGTCTCACCCTGGGAATCCCATCCCCTGAGCGTTCCAGCTAAGTCCTGTCCGAGAGAAGAACGCTCAGACCCCTGACACGGAGAGCCTCCAGACGGCAGTGCTGTGGGTGGCTTTTCGTGGAAGAGCTCCCCAAGCAGTACACACAAGTGCCGTTTTGTGTTTATTATCGTGTCTGAAGTAACATATGCTTTAGTTTGGTAGAGAGCAGGCCAGTATCTTTGTCATGTATTTTTCTTTGAGAAAAACATGTTATCAGATTTTAGGGATTTGTGCAAGGTCAGAAACACCTGTCAGAGTATTTTCGGACTTAGAGGTTACCTAAATAGTCATCCTGAAGATGATAAGCATAGGGCTCAAAGACATCATGTAGGATAGGTAGGTGTAGAATCTGGATTTTCTGTCTTTCAGTATTCTTTAAAACTTAGAGATCTTGATTCCCTGGAACCCTGTTAAACTGTCAGAGAAACCTTAACAGAAGGTCACAGTCTCCAGACAGACTTAACTTTTCTAGATAAGAGACCAGAATAGTTTCCATTAAGTGTTTTGATCATTAGATAATTTTATTGTGCTCAGTTTATTTTTTCAGTTTTTGTGCACTGTGCTGTTGGGGAATTCTGTTGATAAATCTCTAGCTGTGTCCTGTCTGTAAACAGCCTGTCAAAGGCATTCTTCATTTCTGTCAGTGTTTTTGGTTTCTAGCATTTCTTTTAGGTTGTCTTAGGAAGGATTTCCATCTCTGCTTACATCACCCATTGGTTCTTGCATGCTGTCTACTTCATCCTTCAGAGCCCTTAGCAATCACAGTTGTTTTAAATTCCTGGTCTGATAATCCTAGCATCCTTGACATGTCCGATTCTGATACTTACTCTCTTTCCAAATGGAGTTTTTTTTTTTACCTCTTTCTGTTTTTCTTGATAGCTGGCCACGAGTTACCAGGTAAAAGGGATTGCTGTACATAGGCTGTTAGAGATGCGGTGAGGTGTGGGGAAGGGGAAGCGTTCCATCACCCCATGAGCAGGTCTCAGTCTTTTAGTGAACCTGTGCCTCTGGACTGTGAACTTTGCAAGTGTTCCTCAGTTTTTTCCAGCCCCTTAGGTGGGACAGGATGGCTAGAGTGGGCTGGAGTTGGGTGTTTCCTTTTTGTGTCAGTGGGGCCCTGATAATGCCCAGCGTTAGGCTGTGGTTAACTGGTTTCCTGAGGGCAGGCTTTGTTAAGAACAGGGTCCTCGTGTATTTTAGGACAGTTCCTTTTCCTTTCCTCCTGCTGGAAGCATCAAGGGGTTTGTCTTCAGTATTTGGCTGGTCAAGCTTCTGGATTTGTTGGTCTTTCAGTCTGTTCTGCTTTTTACTTGTTAGCACAGAGTGATGACCTCCAGTCTCTTTGTGGAACATGTGGAACCAGAAACCGAAAGTCTCATATAATTTTAGATGCTGTATCAGGAAATGTTTAGCTTTTTGCTTTACAGTCATCAGTCTTGATCAGTACACAGGATGTTGCTGAGTTCTCAAATTGTGCCCCTTAAAATAACATGTGGAATTTTTTTCTCATTTGCTTTACTTGACTTATTGGATATCTCTCTCTTATTCTAGATCACTGTCATCTTCCTGAAAGATAAGGAGTATTCTTTACTTCTCATCATGGCAAGCAGTGTTGGTGGCCTCCTGGTTTTGATTTTGATTGTAGTCCTCCTGTTCAAGGTCAGTTCTGCTTGTTCACAGAGGCCCTGGTGTTGGGCACAGTGTGCCCTGGGGCAGGCAGCCCCTGGTTCAGAGCAGCTGCCCTCGCCTGTGGCTACTTGGCCCTGTTCCATCAACCACACACCTGCTTAGGCAAATAAGTAAGACAATTTCTGTCTGGAAAAGACAAACATCTAATTGAAGTGTTGGAGTACGTGGAGGTTTTCCTACATTAGATCTCATTATCATTCTCCTGTTCAAATCTTTTACTTTCCTTCCCCTGTTTTAACGTTCATACCCTTTTGCTGCTATTCAGGACCTTCCGATCTCTGACCTCTTCCCCTCTCTACCCTTAAGTCTTGCTTTTTTCTCCAAACACACTGAATTAAGTGGTTCATTGAACAACGAGTCTCTGTACTTGGAGTTACAGTGTCTATACCTGACCGCTGCTGCCCTTCCCCACTTCTTCCCCTTGCTCACACTTTCCCTTTAAAACTCAACCCAGAGATTCCTGAGTCCTCTGAGCTGAGTCATGTGCTTTTTCTGTGAGCTTCCTTCCGGAAACCCTTCCAAGGAGCAGTTGTCACACTGTATTGCAATTATGTCTCTTCTGGCTAGTTTGCATGTTTGTTGATGTAAGAGGCTGAACTTGATCTTTCTACTATCAGCATGTACTTTTACATACAAAAGATACAGTACAGCTGAAACTGAACATTTTGCAGAATTAATTAAGAAGGTTGGAGGTCTGAGGGTTCAGAGGAAGGTAGAAAATGACTTCTGAGAGGAATGAGCACCAGGAAAGGCTTATGGAAAGGCAGCAATGCAGACAGGTCCTGAAGGATGGGATTCTGAGGGACAGATTCAGAGAAAACATGAGAAGCAGAGGAGTATGGGGGCTATTTTGACAACAGCCAGATAAATGGTTTTCTAAAACAGATGGATGTTTCAGGCCTGTAACTGGGCTTCCCCTCCCTTTGTTTTAGTGTGGCTTTTTTAAAAGAAAATACCAACAACTGAACTTAGAGAGCTTAAGGAAGGCCCAGCTGAAATCAGAGAGTCTGCTGGTAGAAGAAAATTAGGACCAGCTTCTTCATGTTGGGAGAGAATATCAACCAGTCCTCGAACTTCCCAAGAACTGACTGCTGTTTCCTGTAGGACACTCCAGAGCAAAAGTTAACATTGTCTGTGGAATGTTTTTTAACCATATGTTGTCCCAAATGTGTCTGTGCATTGTACAAAAAATAAACTTGGAAACATTTGGTGTTAAATAAAGCTGAACTGTTTTGTTTTCAGAAGTGCCTTTAATATGGAAATATACTTTATGATTTTTTTTCTTCAAGAGAAGGTTTTACAGCGTTTTCCAACCTTATTTGCCTAAATATGCTCTTTGTCTTGGCATTTTTATTAACATCTCCCAAAATAATGTCCTATGAAGTACATCTTGGGGGATAGTGGTTGAGAGCAATTCCTAGTCTGGCCTTTTTCAAGATCCTGGAACTGCACTTTAGGTCACAAAGAACCACCCCCAGAACAAATGTAAAAAAGTGGGAAAACGGAGGTCACCAAAACAGGAACTGGGGACTTTGTCGTGTAGTTTTGTTTCTGTGGTATGTGTGAACATGTCTATTTAATATGCTGCACTAATCCTTACCTAGCCTCCAGCTTAGTGAATTGCTCAGGGAGACTTTTGTTCCTTAGTAAACACTCACCAGGAGAGAGCACCATCTGCAGAAGGAGACGGAACCTGGCCTGGGAGTTGGAGGTACAGAGATGAGGGCTGGCTTTGTGCTTAGTATCTTATTGTATTTTGTGTCCCATGCTGTTAGAACCTGACCACATCTCTCCACTCCCAACTCCTACAGTAACATAGTCTTTTCTTCTGTGGACTGTAAGAGTCATTGCAAAAAGTTAAATGGTGCAGAAGTTTACAATGTAGGAAGTAATCTCTGTGATGCCTCAGTTTTATCTAATTCAGATATTTTCATTACTATTTATTTTACATTCAGTTTTCTTTTCCAAAATGTGTATGTGTATAAGATTTAATTAAGGAATTTAATCTGAGTTTTTTTTCCCCAGGGGCATAACTAGTTTTCACAGTGCCACTTCCTGAAACGCTTACCCACCTCCTCTGCTTTCCATGCTTCCCCTTTATCACAGGGGCTGGGGGGCTTTAAACATTTCCCAGATTCCTTAGAAGTGGGCTTCTAGTTTAGGTTCTGCCAGTGACAGGCACTTGCGTGAGACTAGAAGGTGGGAGACACCTTTCTTCCTTTCTCTCAATGGTGTGGCAGCAGATGAGAACAGGCTGCTGAGCAGCAGCCTGACAGGGTGGCTCTAGCAGGGCTGTGGTTTCCGGTGGCTTCTCACCTCTGGATGACACCAGCTCCCCTGTTTTTATTTTTCAGCTCTCCCAACAAAGTTGAAACTTAACTCTGAATAAATCTCTTCTCGAAATATCTAGAGTGGTTTCTATTTTCCTGATGACCTTGAGTCTGTTATTTCCAAATGAATAATGGTTGTTTCTGTATCTGTTACTGAAATGCACATTGATGATTTGAAATTCTAATGTTACCATTTATGAAATTCATATATATGTATATATATAAATTCTGAAAATTTAGTTTTGTTTCCCTGATCCATTTGTTCCTGTACCAGTACTACATTTTAGCATTATGCTAACAGCACAAAGGTATCTAAAAAAAAAAAAAGAAAGTCTCCTCTTCTTCTAATCTCTCTTTTTCCAAAAGCAACCTCTGTTAATGATTTTTCAGATACTCTTGTAAAATATTCCTATGCATATACCAGCATAAGCTTCTTTTTAACATATATAAATGGGATTAGATTATATGTAGTGTCTCACCCCATTTTCATCTAATAGACTTTACATATCTTTCAGTAGCCACATTTTCAGATCTAACCCATTTTTAAAAATAGTGCCATAATATTCTGTTACGTTTACTCAGCAAGTTCCTAGAAGTGGATATTTTGGTTGTTCCCATTTTTTTTTTTATTACAGAGAAAAGGTGTGATGAACATCTTTAAACATGTATCCTGCCTGGTTTGCTTTTTAGATCTATTAATGGGTAAGTTTCCAGCATAGTCACTGGCTCAAAGGTTATGTGCACTTGAAATTTTGATAGATGATGGCAAAATTTTTTTACCAGCACTTAGGATATATTAAGTGCCCCACTTAGGATATATTAAGTGCCACTGTATGCCCTTGTCACCACTGGGCATCATCAAATTTTAAGCTAAGCTGATCAGTGTAAAAAACTATATCCTGTATTTGATAAGTTTTCATTGTAACTTGGCAATAAATTTTGCTATCTTGATAGGTCATTTTCATTCTTACTAAAAAAGTATTGATTGAATTCTTTCAGATAATTTTTCAGATTCCCAAAAGAAACCCTTTAGGGTTTTAACTTAAATGTACACAGATTAAGCTGGGGAGAACTGCATTCTTTACAGTATTGTTTGCCTGCTCAGACTTACGACATTTCTTCACTTGCTCAGATTTTGCAAAAACAACCTATAACAGGGATTTATAATTTTTTGTCAGAGGTCCTAATTTATGAAGACTTTTATATACCACATTGTATTAGATATTTTATTGATACTGTAAACATTTTCCTTTTTTCTCCTGATTATAGAGTTTGTATTTAGAAACATACAGGTTTTGAGTATAGGTCTTTGAACTCTGCTTCTTAATAGCTCTTCAGTTGATTCTCTTGGATTTGCTCAGGAGAAAATCCTCTACAAATATTGGTAATTTAGATGTAATTTGGAATCTTTAGGAAATCTTGATTTTTTTCACCCTTATTTCTTTGGCTTAGCACTTGGAGAGCTCTGAGAAGTTAACTGTGTGTATAGTGTTCATGGGATAGCTTTACATGCTGTCCACTTCCTGCCTCATAGCCTGCCCATGGCCCCAATCCCTGCCACTGCGCTTGGGCAGTTTCTGGGCCTGCTTGGAGAACCCATGTGCTTCTCAGGGAGCCGCTTTTGCCTGTGTCAAATCACCAGGCTGCTTGGCATGATCAGCTGTCCTGTTGATCTGATTCCATCTGCTTCATTTCTTTCAGGAATGCCTTTATATTTTGGATCCCTTTATTATCCCATTCTCTGTTTCCAGTGCTGCCACAGGCTTTTCCGCCTTTATATTTCTTGGGTTGTTTCAGTGGGATTTGCCTCTGAAGGAAAAGAAAGAGGTAAGTTTGCTTAGGTATTTCCCTATTGTTGGGAAATACTTTTCAGTGTTACAGGTGACTTGCAGACCCTGCTTTCATATTTTTTTAAATTATAGCTAACAACCCTATTGCCATTGTAACAGTCAAGCCTTATATTGACCACCTTTGAGCTACTGACTGACTGAGCTGTGCTGATCTGATTGGAGTTAGACCAGTGCTGTTGTAAGTCAGGAGACTACAGAAGGGACCACTCTGAGAGGAGGAAGAGACTTTTAAACAGAAACATGGCCAGATTTTACAAATTCATGTGCTATGACTTGGGCCAAGGCCCTGTCTTTTTTCTAAAAGAAAGGAAGATGGTAGAATTCTCTCTGTTGAAATCCTTGAAAATTCAAAGGCTTAAAAAAATACACACAAAAATAAAGGCATAGTCATACTACCCCCAGATACTTCAAATATGCAGGCTAATAGGGGCAGTGACCAGGGATCACCCTCCATCCCTCTCCCTCCCGTGGATGACCTGCACAGAGACCCTGTGGTACAAAGAGTGAGAAAGCCCTTTCCGCCCTCACAGCCCTGTATGACAGGTGTGTGCCCAATGTCACTCCCTAAATTGTGCAGATCCTGTCCTTTGGGGGTTTAGAGGAGAGGGATCCAGGGGGCCTTAGGAAGGAGACAGGCCTCTGAAGGCTGAGCCTTGAAACCATGGAGGACCGAGGGGTGAGCAGCCTGGGCAAAGATATGGAGGTTCGAAAACCCTGAAGGTGGGTTTGCTTGATGGGGCACTGAGGCTGGGAAGGGGCTGCAGTGAACACTGAGGACCTATGGAATCTGTACAAGAGACTATGGAAGCAACACCCTTGTGTTTTACAGGAGGAGTTCCCACTCATGCGTGTTTCATTACCACTACAGTCCTTGAACTTGACAGCAGAGCAGCCGCAGGGGAGCCCGGCCTGGAGGCGGAGGGAGGGGGACGTACCAGGTCACAGCCGTTGCTGTGTGGGTTTGAGTCCCAAGAGGTTGAGTTTTTATCGTGTTTGGTGCCTAGTGGGCCGGTATTTGACTATTTTTTTTAAATGTTTGGTAACCTCAGTAGAAGTTTTTCCCAGGTCACATTTTGAGAACCAAGTAATGAGTAACAATCCATCCGTTAAGGTGGGCCACACGAGCAGCTGATGGACTCAGAAATGCTTCCCACAGAGAGGAGCTTCCTTCTTCCGGTGGACTTTATTGAAATGACATTAATAATGCATCTGCTACTCCTTAAATTCGCCAGCACTATCTACTAATGGAATGTGTTTATCATAGCAGGACTGCCGTAGCAAAAAGAAAAGGGTACATTTTTTTTGTGGGACTCTTTGCGACGCCTTTACAACACCTTTCTAAATCCGTGATACTTAGGACTCTGAAGGACGTCTGGGTCTGCAGATGGTCCTCGAAGGCCCTGCTTGTGATGACTCTCCTGTGTCCTAAGACAGATGCAAATCTCCTACCTGCAAGCTTTGCATATGAGCCCTCCTCTCCTTTGGGGTGGGAAATAGAACCACATTCACCATGCATAAGTAATATCTGAACCTCTCTAAGAACCATATTATTTCAGGGGGATTTGTGTCATGTTTATTTTGCTTCCTATAATTTTTTGGAGAATACTTCTTGAGTTTGTTAGCCTCTCAGGCTAAGGGGAAGCCCTCATTAGGACTGGAGAGGAAAGAAGGAACCTGAGTGTCTTTGGTGGCTGCAGAGTGACCAAGTGTCACCTCCCAAGTCACTAGTAGAAACACAATGATGTTTCTGGCCACTTTCCTGCAGCCACCCACCTGCAGCCAACAGTGTCCCTCTTAGAAGCTCCTTCTGATCCCCTAGAGAATGGGGTTTTTCTCGATTGAGGAGTGTCATCTTGTAATTCTCCTGCCTCTGAAGGCTCACCCATACTTCCTCTGTTATAAATCTATCAAATTCCTAGGAAAAGGAGGAGAGGACGGTATGGGGCAAATGTTGGAGTCAGAGGCAGGAGGTCTGTTTTCCCGCCAGCAGGGCCCTGAGCACATTTCCTCGGGAGAAGGGAAAGGGCCCTGTCTGTCTCGATTCCAGACACTTGAGGGTCCGTAGTGGTTTTTACTAGAGGCTGTCCCCAAGCCCAGAGTGGACCAGGAGAGCCCCAGGACTGGCTCCACACTGAAAACGTTGGCAAGTCTCAGGAGCAAGTGAGATGATGTAAAAGAAAGATCCCCTATAAAATTCACTTTATAATTCCTATCACTTCACTGCTGGTACATTAAATCATCCAACTAGACAAAGTCTTGTGAGCCAGATGAGAATGGTCCCCTCACTGCCAACCCTTCCTCTTAGGTGGACAGCACTGATTATAATGAAGCACGACGTGGACCCCTTTGGAGCAGCAGGGGGAAGAGGCGTGCAGTGTGGTGGGGAGGCAGGAAGGGGACTTTGACCACTTGGAAGACCAGCCGTTCACCTGACCCCTGACCCAGGGAGTAAAGTTTAAAGGCACTCAGTTATTGGCATGCCAGGGTGGTGCTCTCTGCCCCTGTGGCATGGGGCTGCCCCCACGCCCCCAAAGATGCCTTCTGGTGACTGACCGCCCCAGTGTGGCATCATGAGAGTCTGTTTCCCTCTGAGGAGCACTATACAACTGGGCCCCAGTTGCGTGGTGGCCTCCCTGGACAGCAGCAGGGGAGATGTGTGCGTTACACACTTAGGTGTCATCTAGAAGCAGCCATAAGCACTAAAGAACAGAGCCCCAAGTGGATGGCTGGGAGACCACCCTGGGCCTCGTTCCAGTGAGTATGAAATGGGCAGAGTGAGTCAGTGAGTTGATGTGTAAACTAAAGCACTGTGCTCATGGTGACAATGGAGATGATTTATGGGACTCTGGAGCCAGATCACCAGGATTCAAATTCTGGCCCTGATGCTTACTAGTGGACACATATAACCTCTTAGGGAAAAATAAGGATAATAATTGTTCCAACTGCATAGGGTTGTGATGAGCCCATACACATAAGGCACTTAGAATGATGCTAACAGGTAAGTAAGTACTCACAGTGATGGTGACGAGGACCATCTGAGCAGGGTGCCTCGGGGCTCTAGACTGTTGAATTGTGGTTAGGGAGAGTGGAGAAACCATCAATGAAAAGCAGCGGGCAATATTCTCTACATTGGAGAATTCCTCTCGGTTTGGGAAACAGCCCTGACTTGGACTTTAAATAATGCAAATGTAAAATGCAAAGGCCCCTTCTCCCACTCTGAGTATAAAGGGCTTGGGCCTGAATGTGAGGGGGTGGTGAGCTGGCTCCAGCCTTGGTGAGGTGGTTTGCTGCTTATGAGAGGTATTTTTCACATTGTTTTGACCACAATCCTGAGGAAGAAATATATTCTATCATAATGTCATACACATACTCATTTAAAACAGAAGTTTCACAAAGCCATGTGTACTCTTACTTAAACACCCCTCTGATATTTTCTCTCATTTTCTATATGCTGGTTGTAACTCAGTAACTGATGTCATGACCCAGCTATTGGTCTGGATATAGTGGTCCTGAGGGAGCCCCCAGGAGGGGTCTGGCCCTGGTGTCTGGGGGATCCCTCAGAGGACAAACAGGCCCCTCATAAAGCCTGGAACTCCCTATGGGGAGTGGAGAGACCTGGTATGGCTCCACCCGATGCGCTGCTTGTGTAAGGGCGGGGGGCTTGCTGACACGATGCCTTCCAGCCTCAAGCTCTTCTCCATACCACGTTGTGAGACCCTGAAAGGCCACCTTCCCTTGTGTGCTCAGGTTGATGAGACTTCCTAAGTGTGATGTCACCCCTGAGTGTTGGCTGTGTGAAGGGAGGGCTGAGGCCGGCAGGAGAGTGAGGAAGGGAGGTCTGGTGACAATCCCAAGCCTTCCCCAACCCCGATGACGTCAGCTTCTGAAATCCCCAGTCATGAGGAGGACAGGGTGGAAGCTCCAAATCTCTTCCCTGTTTAAAAAAAAAAAAAGCCTGAGTTTATTCACTTACTCAAATACATAACGAACTAATACAGAGCAGAGGGCATGGGATACCAAAGGCAAGGTCCCTGCCCTCCTGGAGCTTGTGGTATTATTGGGGGACACAGTAAATAAATGAGAGAATATCTAAGAGTGACAAGTGCTCTAAGGGAATGAGAAGGGGTAATGGGATAGAGTGAGGCGAGTGGGGCTGCTGTTGGGGGTGGTAATAGGCTTTTTTTTAAAGGAAATGGTGTGTGAGTTCAAATGAAAAGCTGCAAAGAACTGCTTTTGAGAGCAAAATACAGATTCTCAGGCCCTGCCCTAGCCTTAGAGAATGAAAATACTACGGGCAGGGCCCCGGAATTTGCATTTTTCTTCCACACGATTCCCATGCACAGGAGAGCTGGAGACCTTGTACCCTGGGGTTTCTACTTAATGACAGGAGCACATTCTATGAACTTTAGGGTCCCTCCAAACTCTAGAGCCTGTGGCTCTGCAGGGAACTCTGATCCGCGTGTAGGGGCCCGGGTAGGGAGAGGAGCTGAACTGCTTCTGTCAGATGGCGGGATGCAGAGAGGGAGCACGCGCAGCTCATCACACGCTCAGCCCGCGCGGGCCGGCCTCTGCGGCTGCCATGTGCTCTAGAGCTCGGCTCCCCACCGCAGCTCCCGCTGCCCTCCTTTAATTTCAGGTGTGAGGAGTGCGGTCTTCATCGCCTAGATTCGGTCCCTGTCTTGTTTAGGGACCACTTCAGTTGGCGCCGGGCCTCCAGGCATGGTTCACCACTCTGGGCCTTGGTCGCCTGTCGCCACGCCACCTGCCCTAGGTGCGGCGTGGAGTTCACGCTGTGCGGCAGCCGACTCCCCGGGGGCGCGGGCTTTTACACTTGCCCCAGCTGCCACAGTAGGAGCGTCCACGTAATGGCCACATAGGAGCCACGGGTCCCACAAGTCTTCGGTCTCTCCCAGCCTGCGTGGTGAGGGCCGGGCTTCCCCCAGGGAGCAAGAAAATTAAGAAACCTATTGGGTTTGCTTACGCATGCTCTTCATCCCCTCCTCGCCGCCGCTTCCTGCGGAGTCCCGCGTCCCCCACCCACCCGGCCTCAGTTTCCGCATCTACTCGGTAGGAGGACCCTGGGCGTCCTTTGGACTAGAAACCCTGCGTGGTATTGCCTCCCTCCTCCCGCGCAGCGAGCTGCTGGCTGCGGCGGCCGCACGTGCAGGCGGCCGGTCGGCGGGGTCGCTGTGTCGGGAGACGAGGCGGCGGCGGCAAGGTCGCAGTCGGCGGCCTTCCCCGCGCGCTCCCAGTCCTGCGCGCCCGCCGCCGGCCCAGGCCCGCCGTAGCCGCGTGCCCGGGGCCGCCGCGTGGAGGTCGGAGCGCCAGCGCCGCGCGGCCGGCCAGACGCGGCTCCCCATGCGGCGCGCGCGGCGCGCTCTGCAGGCGCAGGTGAGCCGGCACCATGGGGCAGGCGGGCTGCAAGGGGCTCTACCAGTCGCTGTTCGACTACAAGACCGAAAAGTATGTCATCGCCAAGAACAAGAAGGTGGGGCTGCTCTACCGGCTGCTGCAGGTCTCCATCCTGACCTACCTGGTGGTGTGAGTCCTCCCGGGCCTGGCGGGGGCGGGGGCGGTAGGGGGCCGTCTCCGGGTCGGAATCAGCCTGTGTGTGCTTGGGGGTCCAGGTTTCTGCCTGTGAGGACGCCCTCCAGGGCCCTTGGGTATGAGCGTAGTGGGTGAGGAGGGATCCCTCTTCTTCCCACCCCCGCGCTGGAGGGGATGAGATGCGGGCGCGGCCTTCTGAGTGCGCCGCTGCTTCCTCCAGGCCTGGAGCCCCCAGTGTCAGGGCTGCTGGAAGGGGTGAGGATGGGCTGCAGCTGTCGCCCCAAGCCTCCCTGGGCCCTGGCCTGGAAGCTCAGGCGCCGGGCGGTTATTTTTAATCACTGAGTTCAGTGCCAAGCACCCAGCTGGGGCAACTCATGAGCCTGGCATGTCCTAGAACGCCCACCCGTGACTGGCCTCTCCAGCATCCAGCTGGGAGTCCTGCCCAGAGACCTTCTACCCCAGCACCGAGCTCAGCTGTGCCCCGCCAAGTCCCTCACCTGGCAGGAGCTGGCCTGTCAGTGGAGGGGGCAGTGCCTTGGGGTTGCTCGCCAGGCACTGTTCAGAACCATTACCCCAAGTAGGAGGGGTCAGGTGGAGGGAGGAAATGACAGTAGATGACTGGGATGCACCCACGTCTTTCACTCCTTCAATAAATGCTATTGAGTCCCTCCTATTTCCTGACTGGGGGTGGAGTGGACGCTCCTCCTGGGAGGGCAACCTTGACCTCTCTTGGAGGCCTAGCTTCCCTGTCCCAGGGCACCGGGCTGCCTCCCATGAGGGCCTTTATATGGCTGTTCCCCAGCTAGGCTTGCCTTTTCCCTTCTACTTAGCGCCCACTCATCCTTCAGACCCGGCTTCTTACATAACTCCTCTCCTTTGCCTCCTTGGCATTTCCACAGTGTAGTTACGTGCTTATTTGGGGGATCATTTGCTTGATGTCTGTGACTCCCCTCCAGTCTGGGGATGCCACAGGGGTAGGCCTGGCATCACCTAAGTGCTTAGGGAATATAGGGAATAGATGTGAAATGAATGAATGTTTCTTGAGTATTTGAAGAATATTTCTGTCTAGGTTGGGCCCCGTGTGTCCCTACTAAAGTGACTGGTTGGCTCAAGTGTCAGAGTTTCTTGGAGACGGACAGTCTAGGGCCCAGGCTGTGCCAGCTCTGCCCCCAGAGATGAAGAGGGTGGACACACCCTGCTTGGCATCCTGGGAGGTGCAAGGCACCCCATACCACTGCTGTGGGGCCTCAGGCAGGCAGCCCCTGCCCTCTTCTGGCCTCAGTTTCCCCAGCTTTCCCAAGGGGAGGTTAGCATGGACAATCTCTAACCTTAACTGAAACATCCATGGTAAACTGATGAGTCTTGAGCTCTTCCCCTGTGCCACTCATTGTGCTAAGCGATTACATGTGCCATCTGATTTTTTAAAAAATATTTTTTGTATTTTGAAATAATATTAGATTTACAGAAGAGTTGCTAGTACAAATTTTTAAAAAATGCCCTTCACCTAGGTTCCCCAAATTTTAACCTCTTACTACATTTGTGATGTCCTTCTCCCTTCCTCCCTCTACGCACAAGTGTATATCTGCAATTTTTTTTGAGCTGAGTCGGTTGCAGACATTAAACTCCTTTCCTCCTAAATACTTTAGTGTGTATTTCTTAGAAAACAAGGATTCTTTAATTTGACCAAGTGCAAGTATGAATATTAGGTAAACAACATTGAAACAATATTATTATCTAACCTACAGACCTTTTGGAAATTGCCCTAGTAATTACCTTTATAGTAAAAGTAAATCTGAACTCATACCTTGCATTCAGTTGTCTCCTTTAATTTGGATTTGTTCCTGAGTGTGTCTTGGTATTTTACTGACATTTTTTTTAAAAGTACAGTATTTCTATTTTATTTATTTTACTATTTTTTAACTGAAGTAAAATTCACATAGCATGAAATTCACCATTTTAACCACTTAAAATTATACAATTCAATGGTTTTTAGTCCATTCACAATGTTGTACAATGATCAACACTAATTCCAGAACATTTCCATCACCCCAAAAAGAAACCCCTATCTATTAGCAGTCAGCCAGCCGCAGTGCTCTCTTACACCCAGCCCTTGGCAACGACCGGTCTACTTTTGTCTCTATAGATTTGCTTATTCTGGACAGTTTATATAAATCAAGTTATATAATATGTGGTCTTTTTTCCGGGGGGGTGTCTGGCTTCTTTCACTCAGCATAATGTTTTTGAGGTTCATCCATGTTGTAGCATCTGGTGGTACTTCACTCCTTTTATGGCTGAATACAACATCCCATCATATGGATGAGACCCATTTTGTTTATCCATTCATCTACTGATGCAGATGTCTACTTTTTTTTTTTTTTTGAGAGGGCATCTCTCATATTTATTGATAAATGGTTGTTAACAACAATAAAATTCAGTATAGGGGGGGTCAAAGCTCAATGTACAATCATTAATCCATCTAAAGTCTAATTCTCGTCAGTCTCCAATCTTCTGAAGCATAACAAACAAGTTCTTACATGGTGAACGAATTCTTACATAGTGAATAAATTCTTACATGGTGAACAGTACAAGGGCATTCATCACCGAAACTTTTGGTTTTGATCACGCATTATGACCTATAAACGATCAGGTCAAATATGAATATTCGTTTGATTTTTGTACTTGATTTATATGTTGATCCCACATTTCTCCTATTATTATTATTATTTTTATTTTTAATAAAATGCTGAAGTGGTAGGTAGATGCAAGATAAAGGTAGAAAACATAGTTTAGTGCTGTAAGAAGGCAAATGTAGATGATCAGATGATCAGGTGTGTGCCTATGGACTAAGTATTAATCCAGGCTAGACAAGGGCAGCAAGACATCCACGGATGCAGAAGATTTCTCTCAAAGCAGGGGGGGTGAGGTTCTGAGCCTCACCTCTGTTGATCCCCAAATTCTCACCTGATGGCCCCCCTGCGACTGTGCCTGTCTTAGGTTGTTCCTCCCTTGAGGAATCTTACCCGTCTCTGGCTAACCAGTCATCTTCCGGGGCCATACAGGGAAATGTAAAGTTGGTAAGTGAGAGAGAAGCCATATTGTTTGCAAAGGTTAGCTTTTTACTTCTTTGCAGATTTATGCCCTGTGGCTTCTATGCCCAGCACTTGTCTCGAGGTATCTTTACCACCTGGAGGAATTATGATACTCGGTAAATTCGATATGAGGCACGAATTCTATTTAAGGGTTGTAATTAGGAAGGAAGAAGAAAAGCTATAGATGTAGCATATGAAGGAAACTTGGGAGGATTGATTATTTCTTTGACATATCTTCTTGTATAGTACCTTAAGTATGTATAGGTTTTAAACTACTAACTAATTTGCACACACATATTAACATAATAGGAATACGGTGACATAAACAAAGCAAATCTATAATTACCAGCCATCTCCAGTGAAGCCAAGAAAACCATTTAGGCACCCTAGGCATTTGTGAAAATTTATCTATGATATGATGGATATTTTCCAACTGTACTTGAACCATCAGACAAATTAAAGCAGCCCATTTCTGGGATCTGTTCACATCCCATATGTTCTTTTAACCATAGATAGTCTATAGTCATGAGATTTTGGGGTGCTACAACTTGCACCCCTCCCAACTCCTGGTTGAGTTCCAACAGTACAGATCCAGTCAAATTCGTTGTCTCACTGTATGCACATGCCAGCCTAGACATCTCCCTCCTCCTTCTTATGGCAAGTCCAGGAGACGGTGGGCTGGATGCAGCCACAACCGCAGCATCGTCCGGATCCCTGTGGAGGCTTTTTGATGATCATCCCCCGGCACGAGTCCTCCAGAGAGTGCTGATGCCGGAAGCTCCTCCTCATATCGTATCTTAGTTCATTTTCTGGGTATCCAAGCTAGGCCTTGATCTTCTGCGTAGAAACAAACAGACCCTTTGCCCACACTTTGACATGCCCTCTATACCACTGTGCAGAACTCATTGGAGGTCAGCACACAGTAACTGCTTTTTTTTTTTTTTTTTAATTAAGAGAAAGGAATATTATCAGAAAAGAGTACCTCCATAGCTGATCATCTGACACCCTTTAAGTGATCAACATTAAGGATATTTAAAGCATGCGTTGATCTTTGATTTACCAATAGTTTTATCCTGTTAAGGAGTAATCCCCCTTTTCTTTCTTTCTTTCTTTTTTTTTTTTAAATTTTTAATCTACACTTACCTGAAGAATACTATGTTTACTATGCTCTCCCCTATATCAGGTCCCCCCTAACAACCACATTACGGTTACTGTCCATCAGCTTAGCAAAATGTGGTAGAGTCACTACTTGTCCTCTCTGTGTTGTGCAGCCCACCCTCCCCTTTCTCCCTCCCCCCCATGCATGCTAATCTTAATACCCCCCTTCTTCTTCCCCCCCCTTATCCCTCCCTGCCCACCCATCCTCCCCAGTTCCTTTCCCTTTGGTACCTGTTAGTCCATTTTTGGGTTCTGTAATTCTGCTGCTGTTTTGTTCCTTCAGTTTTTCCTTTGTTCCTATACTCCTCAGATGAGTGAAATCATTTGGTATTTCTCTTTCTCCGCTTGGCTTATTTCACTGAGCATAATACTCTCCAGCTCCATCCATGTTGCTGCAAATGGTTGGATTTTTCCACTTCTTATGGCTGAGTAGTATTCCATTGTGTATATGTACCACATCTTCTTTATCCATTCATCTACCGATGGACATTTAGGTTGCTTCCAATTCTTGGCTATTGTAAATAGTGCTGCGATAAACATAGGGGTGCATCTGTCTTTCTCAAACTTGATTGCTGCGTTCTTAGGGTAAATTCCTAGGAGTGGAATTCCTGGGTCAAATGGTAGGTCTGTTTTGAGCATTTTGATGAACCTCCATACTGCTTTCCACAATGGTTGAACTAATTTACATTCCCACCAGCAGTGTAGGAGGGTTCCCCTTTCTCCACAGCCTCGCCAACATTTGTTGTT